GCACTTTGGCTTTCCTACATTGCTATTAATTACTTACTGAAAAACAATCAGCGTGTACTTAATAATGTATTATTTTATACAGAAAATGGGCTTTGTCTGGCACTAAAACAGATAGACGATTGAGGGAACTTGCCTCTCTGTCTCTTGCTGCACTGAGGAGATAGTACCTCAAAGACTAACTGAAGTGGGTGTGAGATATACATGTACTTGTAGGCTTTGCCATGTGATTTGTTGCTTCGACTTTGATGGTTTGACCTTGGTTTTTGTGAGGTTGGACTGAATATCTTGAGTTCTGATAGAACCAGATATATTCTGCTTAGGTGATTTAAAACTGCTTAAGGGCAGCTTGGGTGCAGTAAAAGCAGTGTACGGTACATGTACCAAGTTGAAGAGGATTATCACTTGAGTTGCTCTCTTTTGCCTACAAAATGCAATATGGCTTGAGAACTCTCAACAGAAATGAGCCCAGAGTCTGCTGTGTGCATGTAGGCTACAGTTGTTGTCATTGCTATTAATTTTTGGTGAGGTAAATGTTGTGTTTTGGTTGAAAACAACGGATGGTTGATTCTCAAACTCAGTTCATCTGCAGCGCACGATTGTGTTGACCTTTTGTAGCCCCGTTGGTTCAAATGTGATTAATGTTTAACTTGCAGCGTGAAGTTTTAATTATCGACTTGCTGTATTGTACATGGACATACCTCTTTTGACATTCCTGGGAAAAAAGGCAGTTCCAAGGTAACAGAGTGAGGTCAAGGAAATAAAATAGTGTCATTCCTTTATCCACCTCGTCGACATTCATTATAATGGGAAATTATTTAAAAATTAACACAACTTACATGTAAAAGTCTATTTTAGTTGTTAAATATTCACATACTTTATGCACCAAGGCTGACATGTGTCAAATGTCATGACCGCCAAAATAAGAGGATGCTGGATTCTGGTAGATCCCTCCCCCCAACATGCGTGGCAATTATGTTGGAGGAAAGGAGGAGTTGAAACGTTTCTGAGGATTTCTATCTTGCAGTTTACATGTACATTTGCATTGATGCATAGTATCAATCATGTTTTCAAGTTCCCATCTTTTTCATGTATAACTGTCTTGTTTGTCAGCACATCTGCCTGACCCAAGGGTGCATTCTATCAGTTACAGTTTTTAAAAAAAAATGCAAATCAGACCGATGGTTTGCAGTTACTGTAGAGACTAATCAAAGTTAAGCCCTTTTTTGGCTGAATATCTTTTAAAGAGGTTTTCAGTTGGAAACTGTCCATTTGTAGACAGATATTGAAGAAATTTTTTGTGTCACTTGGAATTTGTGGCAGCCAATGCATCATAAGTAACCAGAGGTTTTGAACCAGAGCAGATTGCTTCATTGCTTTTTTGTCCTAGAAATAATATAATAAATGGTTTGACAGAGCATTTTTGAAATGGAATGAAAAGAAATGAAGGAAATCTTGCCTGGCTGTCTTGACTAGCCAACACACTCTTGGGCGTAGTTGCAGATAGTACCAACGTCTTGAAATTTTGCCGGATCCTCAGAGCGAGTGGCATTATTGAGTTGACAGATTTTATGTCCTTGGTCATTGTGCTTGATGTTGAACGAGCGACATGTGGATTCCTTCATGCAGGAGAAAGCACACCCAGGGTAGGGATTGGTCTTGGTTGCAAACTCTCTGATGACATGATCGAGAAGGCAGGAGCTAAGAAGTTGTCCATCCCCATCTGTGGCAAAGCAGTAGTGATGGGCTGGGTGTGGTTGATAACCACATGCTGGTTGAATTGGACGCTGGAGACAGGTGGCTTGTCTTTGTCCACAGATAGCACCGAATGGCTTGTTGCAGGATTCATCATTCATACTGCCTATCCTACCCAGCCAGATTTCAACACAGTCTTCATTATCATGTGAATTGTTGGGCTCTCCAGGTGACCAGTTGAAGAATGGCTCACCCTTCCCTTGTCCTTCACACACCCAAGTTCCTTCTTTCTCTGTATCACTGCATCCAATCCAGAAATGTGTAATATTCTCCTTGCGGGCCATCTGCATCATGAATTCATTTTCCTCCGGTGAATATGGCACACCCATCACTCCTCCAATGGCCTGACAAGCCAACTTGGACTGATTCCAGTCAGCCTTCTCATCAGTGAATCGATAGCAATAACCCCCCCATGGTTGCCATGACGGTGGGCAAGATGCAATGGCTGATGAGGGGCAGGTGTCTTTGCCTACCACTGAAATCACCACAGAACTCAGAAGTAGGAGAACTTTGAACAAGCACATCTTGTGTCAGTCACTGACAGTTCAACTGGGAAAAGTACTTGAATGGCTGGGAGTGTGGACCAGCTACCTGTACCTGTATCTTGACTTCTGACAGGACCAGAGCTACATGTATTCATAGAGGAAATGTCAAATTTGCATCGATGCCACTGCAGATGAGACACAGGCTTTATTGAACAAAGGCTGACACTCAGACTACCAAGTCACTGAATTGAGGTAAAACTGTAGATGTGCTTTTAGTGAGAAGTGCATGATACATTACATTGCATGTTTAATGATGCATTTGCTTACACTAAAAATAAATTTTGTCCAGCACAGCCCCATTGTATTTTGATACCACACCAAAGTAAATGATTCACTTCATTAGCAGTCTGGCAGTGCTAGCAAAAAGTACCTAACCTTAGGTGTATGAATGAGTTGGAGCCATTTCCAAGAAGAGATTTCATTGTTGAAGAAAGACTACAGATCATTAACTGGACCATTGACTCGACCAGAGCTATTTATAGAGGAAATGTCAAGTTTGCATCGATGCCACTGCAGATGAGACACAGGCTTTATTGAACAAAGGCTGACACTCAGACTACCAAGTCACTGAATTGATGTAAAAATGTAGATGTGTGAAAGCTGCAGAAGTTAATGTCAGACACTGGTAACCTGAATCAAGGAACAGATGAGGTTTATCAGGCCATATACACAGTGTGTAATGTTGGAACTCGAGGCAGTAATGAGCCTTGCACCTGCTGTCGTAGGGAGTGGGAAAAGCATTTTTTCTTTTTCTGCACAGCCCGATGACAAATGACATTGCAATAATTCTTCCATCAAAAAGGGCAAAATGTATACATGGATTATGCATGATTTTAGACAGAAGATGGATTTTGACCAGCACATCGGGTGCATTTTAAAGTGCTTATTAGAGCCAATAAAAATTGCCCATGTACGTTCAATTTCATTGGCAGTCTTGCCCGTAAAAATAGTCACCTCAGGTCTGTGAGTCAGTTGCAGTCCTTTCCAAGAAGGGATTTCATTGAGTCCGTTGTTGAAGAAAGATGACAGATCAGAGTCAAATTAAACAATACAACATGGCAGTTAGCCAGTGGCACACAAAAAGAAGATATCAAAGCCCTGTTCATGTGGTAAGCAGCTGTGGCAAATCTGTCGATATGCTGGACTCTAAAACACGTTGAATAATGTTGTGTTCAAGTTGTTATATGTGAATGTGTCGGTCTGGTGGAAACTTAAAGACATAGCACCATATTTCTCCCCACCACCCACCCATTTTGAGGGGAATGGGATAATGAATCATCCCCCCACTCTTTGTTGTAAAAAAAAAAATAAGGTGAATTGTATGAATTTTTTGGACTTCTGAATCAACAAAAATGCATTCATTGTCACTCGAAAAAGGAAAAAACAATTTTAAAAGGCATAAATATGACATTCTGCATCAATGTGCCCATATTGCAGCTTTGTATCTGTATCATCAACACATGGTGCTGATATATGGTGTTGAAGAGTCATACTGTGTCCCACTTTTCAAATTTCCATGGTCAGGAAAGTTACCCCCCTCCCTTTACCCATCCCCTCTAATTTCCGGCACAAATTTATGCCACTGGACAGCACCTTAAGTGACTGAAGTTGAAGTGAGGCATAAGCTTTCAAAGGCTGTGTCCAAAACGGGCTTCCAGAGCTATGGCTAGATATATTGTCTACGCATCTCTGCACATTTCCAATGGAGCGAAGACCTTGACCTAGCTCTAGATAACAGATTCAGATGCAGCCAAAGTTACAGCTGCATGTTTAGAAGAGAAGAACCACAGTCCTTCAAGTGATTTTTTTTTTCCATTTTCATGTTTTTCTTTTGAATGAGACAATGGGATTCAAAATAGAAAGTGTGGTATCCAACTCATATTTACGTTTGAATTTCAGATTGTTTTCCTGGCCTCCAATTTGCTTTGAATTTGATATGATCAGTGATTGCAAGATTTACGTTTAAGTCAGGCTTCCCAAAACAGAGAAAAAATGAAGGAAATCTTGCCTGTTTTAGATGTCACATTCTTGAGCATAGAGGCAGTAGGAACCAGTGTCTTGGAATTTTGCTGGGTCGTTGGACTGAGTTGCATCATTGAGTTGACAGATTTTCTGTCCTTTGTCGTTATGCTTGATGTTAAAGGAGTGACATGCATGCTCCTTCAAGCAGGAGAAAGCACATCCAGGGTTGCTACCAGTAACAAACTCTTTGATGACATGATCGAGAAGGCAGGAGTTAAGAAGTTTTCCATTGGTGTCTGGGGCAAAGCAGTAGTGATGGGATTTAGTGTAAGGTGGACCATAGTTTGGATGGTGGATACACAGAGCATGATGTATGTTGCTACATTTAAAATCGCCCAAATATCCTGCTGAAAATGAGGTTTTCATTGCTACACAGTGTTGGTTGCCTTTCCAGTTGTTTGGTTGACCAGGCACCCAGTGTAAGGATGGCTCACCCACCTCTCCACAATCCCACGTTCCTGTTTCACGGTCATCACACCCAATCCAGAAAACCTCAATATTCTCCCTTTGGGCCATCTGCTTCATGAATGCACTTTCATCAAGTGAGCATGGAACAGCCATCCTTCCTCCCATGGCCTGACAAGCCAACTTGGACTGATCCCAGTCAGCCTTCTCATCAGTGAATCGATAGCAATAACCCCCCCATGGTTGCCATGACGGTGGGCAAGATGCAATGGCTGATGAGGGGCAGGTGTCTGTGCCCACTACTGCAGTCACCACAGAATTCAGAAGAAGAACTTTGAACAAGCACATCTTGCATCAGACAGTTCAAGTTGGACAAGTATGGTGCTGATTGGGAACTGCTGGTAACCATATGGACTTTGAGTTTGGCTAGACTGGGGACATTTGTAGTAGAATTGCAAAGCCTGATCCTCCCGTGTAGGCAAGCCAAAGGCTCTGTTGAGCAACGCTTAACACTCAAGACCCCCAAAGCCCTCGTTTTACAAAACTGTGTTGAGTGCAGCTGGATAGTAGAAGTAAAAGGATTAGGTTTTAGAGTGAGTTCAAAGTTGCAGCAGTCACCAAGAGTGAATGTCAGACACTGATAGCTGAATGAAGAGATGACACTCTCTCTCTTTCCATATACAGAGTGTTTT